TAGATTCAGTTTGGAAGACTGTATATTTCTAGGACTTTATCCATTTATTCTAGGTTGTCCAATTTGTTGGTATATAATATTTCATAATCTCACATTTTTGTATTTGTGTGGTGGTGGTGGTATTTCTCCATTTTGGACTTTGAGTGCTCTCATTTTTTTTCTTAAAGAGTGGCTAAAGGTTTATCCATTTTGTTTATCTTTTCAAAGAACCAGCTCTTGATTTCATTGATTTTGTCTATATTTTTACTTTCTTAATGGTGTCTTCTGATGCACGTTTGTTTTGTTTTGTTTTAAGTCCCATTTACTTATTTTTGTGTTGTTTGTGTTGTGGTGTCATACATCTAAGCATCTTCATCTAACCAAAGTAAAAAATGTTTATCCCTATACATTCTTCTAAGATATATTTATACTTTTAGCTCTTACATTTAGTTCTATAATCTATTTTGAGTTTACTTTTGTGTTTTGTGTCTAGTACACATCCAGATTTATTCTTTTGTAAATGAATATCCACTTATCTCAGAACAATTTTTCAAAAAGACTATTCTTTCCCACCCTCCATTGAATTGCACTGATGTACTTGCTAAATATCACTTAATAAATATGAGGGTTTATTTCTCAATTTTATTCATTGGGAGATATATATATATATATATAATATACCCACATTTATACCAATATTGCATTGTCTTGATTATTGCAGCTTTGGAGTAAGTTTTGAAATCAAGAAGTGTGAGTTCTACAACTTTGTTTTTCTTTTTAAAGGTTGTTTAGCTATTCTGAGTCACTTATGTTTTCATACAAATTTTAGAATCAGCTTGTTCCTTTCTAAAAAGTCAGCTGGAACTTTGAAAAGAATTTAATTGGGCCTCTAGATTGATTTGAGAAGTATTGCCAGCTTATCATTATCACATCATCCAATCCACAAACATGGGCTATCTTTACATTCATTTAAGCCTTCTTTCGTCTTCCAACAATGTTTTGCAATTTTCAAAGTATACCTTTTGCACTTTTGTTAAATTTATTTCTAAGTATTTTCTTCATTTTTCTTCAGTAGTTAATATAATTGTTTTCTTAATGTCATTTTCTGTCTTATTTCTGTTGTATAGAAATAAAATGGATTTTAAGGGCACCTGGGTGGCTCAGTTGGTTGGGCGACTGCCTTCAGCTCAGGTCATGATCCTGGAGTCCCGGGATCGAGTCCCGCATCAGGCTCCCTGCTCAGCAGGGAGTCTGCTTCTCCCTCTGACCTTCCTCCCTCTCCTGCTCTCTCTCTACCATTCTCTCTCTCAATAAATAAATAAAAATCTTAAAAAAAAAGAAATAA